TATTATTTATTTTATTTTGACAGTTTAATGTATCATGTATTTTTTAAGGATGAATATAAACATCAAGAACGCTTTTATAAAGGTTATAATAGTAATACCATTTTGTAAAACTGTTAATTATACCATTTAACCACCGTTAAACATTAGTTGGGTCTTTTATACTAAATGATAAGACTATTGTTACAGACTATACGGCTGTGATGTGTGTGTGTAAAAGTCACAGAATGTGTCACATGAGCACACAGATTAAAGAAAAGATATAAAGACATTGGGATATAATGTTCTTTATGCTATTGAGAGTTTTAAAGCGTGGGTGGAAACTAAACTATGTTTAGAAGGAAAGGGAAGAAAAAAAGGTTTTACTTCCTGTTAACTTCATAAACATTGCAGGTTTCACATCTCCAAGAACCTCCCAAAGGTCACCAGGCTCACGTTGCTCAAAGGTCAACCGGGGACTTTAAGAGAGAACAAAATGAAACGGTGACCCTTGAGCACAAAAACTGGTTCTATTAGTTATCCACCAACTGTAGCTGGTGAAAAGGTTGTCATGTTGCATTGTGGGATATGTAGTATGCAGTGTTTGTACTAATGACAAGTGAACACACTTCAAATACAGATTTACGTTTTATGAACAAACAGCTTTTTCTTCTTCAACACACTTCGTCTTTATGGGGTCAGAATGTTAAAACTATTCAAATGTCAAACACAATTTCTATGCTAGCGTCTTTAATTCAACGTGATTTCTAGATTCAAATCTCAGCCGCCACCATCCATGAAGACAAGAACACGAGGTCACACCGATCACAAATAAACATCTTCAATGATGAGGAGTCCAAACGTATCAGCGGATCCTTTTGTGCAAAACTACGTAACCTTGTTCCTCTTCTTCTCTCCGTATTAATGCTCGACATGCAAAGTCTAGCAGAGAACACGAGGACTATCAGAAGTCACACATTTTGCATTCATGGGATCACAAAGGTCCCCCACTGAGGGGTCTCCCCACTGAGGGGTCTCCCCACTGAGGGGTCCCCCCACTGAGGGGTCTCCCCACTGAGGGGTCTCCCCACTGAGGGGGTCTCCCCACTGAGGGGTCTCCCCACTGAGGGGTTCCCCACTGAGGGGTCTCCCCACTGAGGGGTCTCCCCACTGAGGGGTTCCCCACTGAGGGGTTCCCCCGTGGCCTCCTCCGAGTTCCCCTCTGCTTCCCACACAGGGAGTTTTAGAGAACATCATAAAACATAAAACTCTGGCTTCTGTTTGGAGACAGGAAGTAGAGTAGTAGTGATACTTAACTACTAACATTAAATAGCAGCGTCTCCTGTCTGTGGTCCCTTCTGCAATGTCTCTGATTTATGGTCACATGACAGCTGGTCTGAGTCAATAAAATAAGATATTCTTTTATTTGTCCCACAACGAAAGTCTTGACGTCGAGTAGATCAGGATTAAAACTTTTTTCACGATCTGATTAAATTGTAAAGTAGAAACCTGAAGAGGACGAACAAGTAGTTTTAAAGAAAACGCTATTTTCAATCACGCCGGCGGGTTTTGGCGTTCAGAGAAAAAACGAAGAGTCAGCAGTCAATGACGTAAAAAAAATATGTATGTATATACATGTTTACAAATACACTGATACAAAGATAAGCTTTCACATTTTACGGGTTTGAGAAAGAACAAATTCATAAATACTTTAGCACACACACACACACACACACACACACACACACACTCTCACACAAGCACCCTTGAGGACCCTTGAAGACCTTTGAGGACCTTGTGGGACCCTTTAGGACCCAGCGTATAAATGGACCGGAGGTCGTCCTCGTTCAGCGGTCCGAGCGGCGCGTCCCGAAAAGTCACTTTTTTCGGCGTCCTGTTTCTGTCTCTGAGGACGTTCTTTAAAATGACCTGTGATGAAGAAAAGGAAGAAGCGAGCGGTATGAGAAAGGGCCTCCGGGTCAGCGGAACGGCGGACGGGCGGCTGTGGGGGTCAGACTCACGTAGCTGATGAGGAAAATCACCAGGGCAAACATCAGCCCCAACATCGCCAGGACAACCAGGTACGTGTCCGTCAGCCGGTCCTCTGCGGGACAATCTGAATAAGGGAGACAGGAAGTCAGTCCCTAAACCGTGACCCCCCCCAGTGTCCCATAAGATAAGAGGAAACTTTTGACCCCGAGGTCCTCACCTGTCGGCGTGAGGAGCACCCGGCCCTCGCGGTTCTGCTCGCCAACCGGCGCCGACAGGTGACACACGTAGTAGCCGGCGTCGGCGCACGTGGCGTTGGGCAGGTGGAGGTCGCGGGACTCGCCGCGAAGCTCCGCCGCTCGCTGCATGCCGAGGTATCGCCGCACGGTGCCGTTGGCGAGGTCGCGGGTCAGGACGCCGGTGAGGCGGGACGCCGGCGGCGTTCCCTCCTGTGACATCATCAGTGACGCGTTAGCTTTGTCGTCTGTGACGCAGTAACTAGTAACTTGTGTGAGTGTGTTCAAATAAAAACTCGAGAATAAAAGTGGAAATATAAAGAGGATGGAATAAAATAATAGAGAGTAAATATAAAATAATAAATGACATAATAACATTTTATTTATTTAACATTATACTTCTACATTTACTTGAATATTTATCCAAATACAATCAATCGATACCTTATCCTGGGATATTAAAGATATTATAGACAATATATAGGGATTATATTGATCCCAAGCTACTTGGAAGGCCTTGTATTTGTAACAAGGTATTTTACACCATGTACTTTTCTCCAAAAAGAGATCAGAGTACTTCTACAACCACAGTAAGAGAAAGATACAAATACAGCTGATAGAATTCTATGACAAAGGCAGTATTCAGAAAAATATATAAATATAAACATTGTTTATTTCAAAAGTCTCTTACTAGTCGCTTTTATTTGAATGAAATCTTTTGAAATCTTTTGGTTTCTCAATGGAACTATTGTGAACATATTGTATCTTATCTATTACACTTAACGCTCTTTTTGGAGGGAAATGAAACAGGAAGTGACATCTGCACACATTTGAATTTAAACAAAGCCAATGTCACGTGTCTCCTCCTTCCTGGAACATTTGCTCACTACAACACGTATCAAATGACGAGCACGGGAAGCGTTCCGTCCGCGAGGTGAGGGGCAGGTTTTACCTTGAACCACTTCACCGATAAGTACTGCACGCCGGGCCGGTCCGCAGCGGGGCACCGGAGAACACAGTCGTCCCCCAGCAGCACCCGGACCTCCAGCAGCGCCTCGCTGAGAGCCACGCCTGAAGAGATCACCAGAACACAGGAGAGTAGAAGTTATTATAGAGCCCATAATGAAGATATGACCAGAACACAGGAGAGTAGAAGTTATTATAGAGCCCATAATGAAGATATGACCAGATCACAGGAGAGTAGAAGTTATTATAGAGCCTATAATGAAGATATGACCAGATCACAGGAGAGTAGAAGTTATTATAGAGCCCATAATGAAGATATGACCAGATCACAGGAGAGTAGAAGTTATTATAGAGCCTACAATGAAGATATGACCAGATCACAGGAGAGTAGAAGTTATTATAGAGCCCATAATGAAGATATGACCAGATCACAGGAGAGTAGAAGTTATTATAGAGCCTACAATGAAGATATGACCAGATCACAGGAGAGTAGAAGTTATTATAGAGCCTACAATGAAGATATGACCAGATCACAGGAGAGTAGAAGTTATTATAGAGCCTACAATGAAGATATGACCAGATCACAGGAGAGTAGAAGTTATTATAGAGCCCATAATGCACTTAAACATATATGAAGTGAACACACAAGAATACCGGATATTTATCATACATACCATAATATAAAACAATAAATCAGAGCCCTACGGTCAAAGGTTAAAGGTTGCACTCACTCAGTGACAGCAGCAGGGTCAGCGTCCTGGTACGTGGCAGCATGATGGCGATGTGAGATGTTCCAACGCGGCTCCATTTATATGAACTCCGCCAACGCAGTGAAACCAAAAGCACGCGACGCGGCGTCCTCGCGCTCCGCCGTGTGACCACGCAAAGGTCACAGTGCGGCGACCTCTGTCCGTATTCCGCTTCGCTAGTTTAACCCGGCGTAAAAGCATTATGTCGCGTTTATAGTGTTTTTAGTGAAGTCTCGCGTTACTTTGTGAGGACGAGACAGCGAGAAAAGGAAAGAGCAGAATGCTTAATAGAAGTTTTAATACTTTACTGATACAATAACATGTTTGTGTAATGTCATTTTATGCGTTCGCCTCTTGCTTAAGATAAACAAATAAAACATTATTAAGCGGAACGAAAGTAAAAACAACCCGCGGGATTCCCCGTGATTTCCATGAAACTGGAGGCGGTTTCTGTTTCCACGAAACCGAAACATCCCCAGAAATCCCCTTTCTGTAATTAACTTAATCCGAATATCATGAATCACTCATAGAGGAAAGTTAACGGAACCAGCAACAAGTCCCGAAAGTCTAAAACAAGCATTTCTTATTTTTTGTCCGCTGGATTTTAAGTTAATAAATGGGTTTATCTATAAACATAAGAGCGGGTTTCGGATCACGGATCTGCACATTCTGATATTTTGAGAGAAAATGAGTAGAATTATTAGTAGTATAAATCCTGCGATGTGGTCTTTGTGTTCCTGCTGTGAGAACCCGACAGTCCATTGTATAAAACAACAGAATAAACACGATACACACGGTAAAGACGGCGCACGGCGGCACAATGCAACTCACCCGGAAGCTCTTTCACAATAAGAGCGGTGATATCGAGACAAAGGTAAAAGCACCTGTGACGAGGCGAGCTGTGGTGTCCGCAGTCTTTACGGTTTCGTTTCATCCGTTCATGTTTGCTGTTAACCTTGTATTTCAAACAACACGTTAGTATGTTTCATTCTTTTTATTCCTTGCATATCGTGCGTGTCTGCCTGCCCCATTAATATTTAAACAAGCCATTTCGTTCTTTAAAGAACTGAAATTATTTCTTTAA